GGGACAAGTCACTAATTTCTACGGAATTACCAAACATTGTCTCTTGACACAGATGATGCATGTGTAATCTCAACATAAATATGCGATTAAGATTCATCTCCAGATCTTAACCATACAAGCATATTTCACATAATTCAACATATTTGAATTATCTTCACCAATTGCACAACATACATCAATCATATCATCAATCACACACAATGCATTCTCATAGCATTAATCATCCCAACACATCATTATAACATGTAGCAAACAAGTCCAAACCATATTATATTCAATCAACATCAATTCCCAACAATTACATACACAAAATCAAGTAATCGTTTTCTCATCAAAAGTCATCCAAAACAATTCAAAACACATCGAATAAATTATTAAAATTCATGTAAACCAATGATAAATCATAAGCATCCATAATCTAGAACAGTTTCAGAAAATAATTATTTTCACATTCCAGACCGCGCGCTAAGCGGCACCTAGGGCGCTAAGCGGCCTAGCGAAAAACCAGAAAAATATGTTTACGAACAGTTTTGTCTTGTTACGAATTTCTCACTCAAAATTCATTCCAACACCCATTTGTCAGCAATTAAATGTATTATAACCTATATCTATCATATAGCATCAAATACAAACATCAAAACATGATTTCCAACATTAATTTCATGATTTCACATTCAAACCCTAACATATCAAAATCTAGAAATTAAAGAACAAATTCCTAATTTCATGTTACTATCTATTACATACTCATATATAATCTCATAATAACAAGAAATCCCACTCTTACCTTATGTAGACTCTTCCTAGGTTTTCCTTCTTCTTCTCTTCTTTTCTCCTCTTTTTCTCTTTTCTCCTCTTCTCTTCTTTTGATAATTCTCTTCTAATTCTATTTTCTCTTGCAACTCTTACTAACCATTGTTTTCTCTATTGGGCTTATCTCATTCACTCATTAATGAAACATATAAGGTCCAATACTTAAATATGATATTCTCACACTTACTAGTCCAATAACATATAATACACACGTATTAATCCAATTAAATCAATTATTCGCATAATCACACAAAGTCAAATAATTAAACAATTATCAAATTAAATAATAAATAATCATAAAAATTAATTAATAAAGAAAATCGATGTGTTACACAAATGCATTTGAAATTCTAAACCATTATCACTTCTTATAGCTATTTTTTTGGTCAAGTAATCTAGTGGCTAGAATTCCATCTTTTAAAAGTTATTAAGTTGGATGTAACGGGTTCAAACCTGCACCCCTACATCTAGTATCCATACACAACTATCAATTAAATTGGCTTAACGGAACCACTTCTTATAGTTTTTGCGCAGAATATTTTTTTAGTGATAAAGTTTAAAAATATTTCAATACATAATGTTGTTTCAGCCTTGTTTTTCATTCAAAATTTTTTTTTAAGTAAAGTAGGAAAAATCATTAACTATAGTTTTAAAAAAAACTTGATCTCCATGCGAAGAAACGAAATTGATGGGACCCCAGATCTACATATGTAAAAGATCAAAATAAAGTAAAAAAAATGTAGTTTCACTATGGGGAAATGACAATTTAGTTTTCTTGGCCATGCGGCAATTATCACACAATGTCACTATTAACATAAATATAAGGAAACACATTACAAAGTTGTTGTGAAATAGAAGCATATGGTTGGCCTAGCTAAAATGCCACTTATCAAAGGTATAGGAAGATGTAGATCTGACAATATTATTGACAAACTAACTATTGTTAATGAAAGAAGCATTATTATCTATAGATGTGAAAATATAGCAGTAGAAGGAATGTTACCCATTAGAGGTTGATGCAAAATTGGTGTTGTGGGGATTATGAACATCAGTAGTGTTGCTAGGTGGAGGGTTAGGGTTTTAAATGTTGTTGACATTGTTGGAGGAGTTTTTTTTTTATGTCTTGTTTGGGTCCTGGGTCTATAACTTGGAGAAAAACTATGTTTCAAGTAACAATGCTCCATTGTATAATTGGTTTTGTTACAATGTTTGCAAAGCATAAGAGTTCTTGGACCTTTACCCTGACCTTTGGATTTAAATTGGAAATATTGATGGGGGATTGTATTAACATAGAAAGCAGTGGAATTAACAAATTTTTCGAAAAGGGTAGTGTCTTGTTTGTTGGACATATGATTTCATACGCACGGAGGTTTAAATCGTGTAGGTTTGAAAAACATTAATTTAAAATAAAATCTTTTGAAAAAGTTGAGTTTAAAACCATTTCAAAAACAATTGATATATATGTAATGGAAATTTAAGTTAAAGAGAATAACGAAAAAATAAAATAGATAAGTAAAGATAAATAACACCAGAGAATTATACAGTTTTGGTCAAAAAGATCTAATCTTGTCCCTAAGAATTAATCTTGAGAGTATCCATTATATTTGAGTGTTTTTAGAAGGTTATGCCCACGAACCCCCTTACACAAGAAAATGAAGTTTCATACCAGCTTCTAACTAAACGGTGAATAATATTTGAAGTAGTTAGTCTCCAAACAAAACAGAGACTTTGCTCAAGTTGATCTCGAACCAAGACATAGTTTTGATTTTTCTATTCTCTAAATCGAACCAGGTTTCACACAAATTGGCCACGAATTGATCCGAGATTTTTTACTGAACTGATCTCGAGCCTACTGAGTTTTTATACCAGATTGAACTCAAACACCAAATGAGATTTTACACAGGTTGATCTTGAACCGATAGAGCTTTTAGCTAGGTTGAGCTCAAGAATCATTGTGGAAATTTTTACTGGCTGATCTCCACAAATCAAAAGAAAGTTTTTTCTTTAATAGAGAAAACTCACAAACTGAATTTGAGACTTCTTAAGATAATCCTCCAATACAAACATGAGCTTTTAACTAGTATAACTCATAACCAAAATAACAATATTCTATGGAAGAAATATTTACTCAAGAGGAAATTAAATTTTGGTAAAATTATAAATTTTTCCTCACCGAGAACAATATTTCTCACTAGACTAAGAACACTCTCAAAGCACTATGGTTAAAATATGTGAGAAAATAAGAAAGATTTAGAGGGGTGATGAGAGAAATGAAAAGTGAGTTTTCTTAACATTTTTTAGATGTTAAAAAGTGATAGAGAAACTCTCTGTTTATAGGCCAATGTGTGTTATAAATTTAAAAATAATATATGGGTCAATTAATTCACCTAATCGATTAGACACCTCAAATAATTGATTATTGAAGTTTAAAATGGAAAATTTTGATATAGAGTCTTTACCAATCAATAAGAGATTATCCTAATTGATTTTAGACTTAATTAAGCATCATCTAATTGTTGAAAAAATTATAAAAAATATATATATTTTAATCAATTAAACACTCCCCTAATCAATTGGTTAGGTCTCAAATATTTTTTTGTGATTTAATTTAAAAAGTGAAAGGTTTTTCAAGAGTTTTTAGTGTGTATGATTTAGCTGTCTTTACACTTTATTAGTCACTCAGACAAACTCAACCAAACAAGCATTTACACTTTCTCTCTTTTACACTATAAAGTTTCAAGTCATGATATCAATATCTTTTACTTTAGCATCACACGAGAGTTACAAATGTTTTTTAGACTTGAAATATCTCCATGAGAATTTGAAAGCTTAAACCACTGGTTATCCTTGAGACCATATTCTTCACTTGAAATTTATTGGACTACATTGTTGACTTTAAAAAAAAATATCTTAAATATCTTATTTGATTCGGGATGTTATCTTGATCAACCATCATTAACTTTAATGAATCACAATAACAATAGAAAACTACACAAGGATAAACATACGTTTTTTATTTATGATTTTAATTTTCTTGAAGTTTCATTAACGTAAATGTTTTTTATTTATGATTTTAACTTTCCTAAATTTCAAGAATTACAAGTGTGAAGTCTCATATTAATTAAAAACATATAGACTTAAGTATTTATAAATTGAAGAAACTCATGCACTTATCACCTGAATCACCTGACTCTATGATGTGTCTCTTAAAAGATCTGCTGCTCATAAAAGAAAAGTTTCAAATATAAAAATATTTCCTAGTGTTGACCCATCGAATTGCCCCCAACATCTCTATCATGATTATTGTTTTTTTTTTAAAATTCATTATATAACGAATATAACTTTTTTTCCATTATATAACTTATAAAAGTAATTTTGTTCATTGAATTGAACATTAATAAATCGTAGGAAATCATCCTTATTTCTAGTCACATAACAAATAATCAGATTAACAAAGTAACCACCATAAGAATAGGAACCAACCTCAAAATACAGACAACCAACATTAAACACAATACAACCCACAAACAACAAAGAACTAATCACAAAAATAGAAAGAAGTATCACAGCCGTTGCATCGCATAAGAGATACAAATGGATGGATACCAAGAAATCAATTTGGGTCAGTTCAAAAATGAGTCATTCGATTTATAACTTCTCCACTATGCTTCATCGTAAATCACATAATCTATCTATGCTTTTTGATACCGTATTAACAATGGTGAAGATATAAAAATAGAGAGGAGGAGGAAGATAAACAAATGAGACACCCTTTGATTTTTAGTTTCACCAATTACTCTATTGGTAACAAATCAAAAATTGCATTTAATTTGGCCAAAAAACAAAATTTAATACAATATGCTAGGAAGCAAAAATGAAGAAAATTTATTTATAAACAACCTATTATGATCTACAACATATATCTTCTCAACTCAAAAGAATGCCACAATCTGTAACTGATTAAGTACTTATTCTGACACAATTCATGAGATGGCAAAGTAAAGTCCCCAGATGATAACTTCGTGCCCTTTGTTCTTCTTCATCCTTGAATATACATTTGATTCAGGAAATTATTTCAGTTTATAGTTTAGTGACCGAGAATTCTATAAGATTTGATTTGCATCATCTAACTAGGACTCAAGAAAAAGGCTTACTTGGGATACGAATCATTTGGTACATATAAGCTTCTAGATTCCATCATCTTGTTCATCGATCTCCTCAAGAATAACATATTTGGCTGAAGAATCTTTTGTATGATGCTCTGATTCACTGTCACCTGCATGACCCTTCTGAAGCTTCTGGTATCTGATATAAAATATAACCAAAAACAGAGTGTCACTATGTCTGATGCGCACATATGGCTGGCTCCAATAAACAAAAGCCACGTTCGGTTAGAAGTGTTTCTTCAATACACTTACTTGTACAAATTAAACAAGCTCACACCAATCATAATAGTGATTAGGCCAAATCCTTTCAACCAAGTAAATTTATCATGGAAGTATAAAACTGCCACCTAAAGACAAAAAGCATGAAATCAAAACATTAAGTTCAGTATGGCCGGCGAGATCAATAATCTAAGGTTTAATAAAATTAGAGACATGAATTGATACCAATATGGTGACGGCCTCCTTAACAACTCCGGCTATTGTGACTGTGACGGCACTAGTTACAGACACCAAAATATATTCTGTTAGTACCTGCAAGAAGATAAAATACAACGTAAACACACAAAATATGGTTAAGGCAAGTCAAGTAAGAAGCAAGCCAATTTTATAAACTCCTACCATGAAAAAGGCAAGTGTTCCACCAAAGAACATCAGCAAGCAACTTCGAGTTATATGATATGGAGTATCAAAGTATGCATTTTCTTGGAATTCGTCCCATGGATCTAATGCAAGAGAAAGAAGTGCAGTTGATACAGCCATTACCGGAGTTACATTGCTCATCAGGGTAAGTGGATTTTTCAGACCTGACGTAATTGGAAAAAGCGTATAAATATATAATATAATAGAGCGAAGAAAATTCAAACTGGAAAGTAATCACAGACAAAGAAAAAGCTCAGGAGGAGATAACGAGAAAATTTATGAGAGAAACGGCGAAATAATGCAATATTCAAAGTTAATGACACAGCATTCAATCAAACAAAAAAGAGAGAAAAACAACATCAAAAGCCTTTTGCAGCTATGTGGGGTTACGTGAGGCACTTACCATAGGATTCTTTCTTTTCAATTTGGTTATCAGTTCACACATGAAGAGAATGAAAATCGTGTTCCAGCCCAAGAAAATGAAGCAAGAATGTTCAGTTAGCAATTGCAGGAAAAAATAACACCATAAATGTGATTGGTGTGTACTTGTAGATAGAAATGTATAGATACAATATACAATCGTTTAAAAAACTGAAAAGGCATATAACATACCTGCAAAAGGATCTGAGTCATACACCACCGAAACCCGGACATAACAGCAGCAAGCATGACAAGTACAAATCCCCAAAATTCAAATTCTGTCTCTTTTGAAACTGCAGTACGCCAAAATAAAATTTAAGTCTATTTTGATATATAGTTGAGGTTTTTTAAAAAAAATTGAAAGAACAACATGATAGACGAGTATATAACATTTCAATCATACTTTATTTTTAGAAACGTTTTACTGCGTGAACAAAGATATGAATACCTGTTAGTAATATGCCAATGGAGATGACTAAAATGATTCCTGATAGTTTAAAACTCGGTGTCTCCAACCTTTCAATTCAAACCAATGTTTACAATTAAATGATAAAAAACAGATAAAGATAAACACAAAACTAAAAATCATCCAGAGATATACAATTAAAAATATGAATGTATGATTATTCAAGAACCAATATCACAAAGCAACATAACAAAGATAATACCAACAATTAAAGTATTCAGAAACAGAAGTATCAATTAAAATAAGGCACCTTTCACAAACAAAAAACCATTCCAATAGCAATTTTGGGGTATCAAGTGAAAGGGTGACGTAGGGTCAGTTTATTATAGGCTGTGTATATATTTTAACATCATAGAAACTTTATTGATCGTTTTAAAGGATTTGTATTAGATGCTTAAATTTTGTGGTAACCTGCAGTTTATTCAAGTCTTTGGAGCATTTGGTTTAAGTAGATTGCTTTCTCTCTACTCTTTAGACCATATATAGCTTCTCTATAGGTTGCCTCAACAAAGTTTCCGATTCTGATATAAAGAGCGACTAATTCAAGGTAGCCTTGCTCAGAGTAGTCAAGCATGAGATTTTAAGTAGGATAGGTCGATTTGTGAAAGATCGTAAAACTCGGATCGTTAGCACGGCACGTAAGATCCTACTGAAAGGAAAAATAGTAATTTCATACATATTTACACACACACACACATACACAAAAACATGAAAATTATAATTCAGGCCCAACACACTTTTTTTACGATCTTGCTTCAAAATGCTCGCTCTTGACCACACCAGCAATGAAAACAATCTTTTTCTGATTGTAGCACTCTCATCTCAGGCATCCTTGGCACAACACTCAATCTTGACTACACTGGCCTTGCTGCATTATATTCCCCCTAGTTGCACTTTACCTATTTTCTCTCTATTAAATTTTGTTTAATTTCAAAAAAGTAATAATAATGGCATTGGGATATTGGTAAAAAGTATTGCATTTCCCAACTTCTTTCTTAGTACAATTTGTTGGGTTGGAGGTCAATTAAGGTATACAACAGCGGTCAAAGTACACAATTTCAGACTTACTATTTAATGCATTAGATTTTAATATCTATTGTTTTCTGAGTTACGCAAGACTTCAAAGTATAAAATTTGTTTTCCTTAATGCATCAACAACTCCCATGTATCTTAGTGATAGTGCTCCTTAAATTTTAAAATGTTTACTACTTGACTCAAGAATCGCATAATCAGAGTGATTACGAAAACAAGATGAAAGGAGACTCACCTGAAAGCAAAAGCAAACAAGAGGAGAAAGATTGGAGCAGCAGATTTACACTGCGAAACAAATGAAAAGGTAAATAAGGAGGGGAAAGACGGTTAGTTATTTGTTTCCATAAAAATGAGGGAACATGTAGAATCAAATTCTGATGTAACATTACACAAAGAAAACACTTCACTCTATAAAAATTAAGGGAATGCCACAAACCATTGTAGCAAATGTGACAGAGATGAAAACTAGAGATACATTGCTCAAGTTAACATCCATAGCTGTTCCAAGAGCAGTCGGGACAACTGTGAAAGGCAAAGTCCATCTGTGGCATTAGTTGATATAAAAGTTAATGTAATAAGTTGTGATAAAGTTGCATAAAAGTGTGCTTCAGGGAAGAAGATCAGTGAGCAAGAGAGAGAAAAGACGTAAAAACAACAGAAAATGGTACAACAACCGATCAACTATGTATTGTTAGATCATTTCATATCGCTAAATAAATCGAGTCAAAATGGTAATTCGAACCACATAATCATAAGAGCGAGAGCCTACTATTTACATTAGAATCTTAATAACCAAGTGAAATTTTTTGAACAATAAACACTATCGCCGCAAAGAATTACAAACTATATGCGAAATATTCTGCATCGATACCACTGATAAGTAACAAATAATGAGAAAATATTACCCAAAATGTAATAGGAAGTTACAGTGTCGTTGCCTACCTAATTACCTATTAAAGTCGACAAAGTTAGAACATAGAATAGCAAGAATGAAATTTACCTCGCAAAAAGTAATCCCTCCATGACATGACAACATTAGTCTCAAACTTATGAGCCCAAAACCACGTGATAAATTTCGATAAAACAGCTTGCATTGAAAAGTGGATCGTATTCATTAAAAAAGGAGCCGGGAACCTTCCCATATGATCTCCCAACAAACTTTTATTATACCTGTCCGAATCAGATAACAATAAGCGACAAAGCATAAAAGGACTCGCATCACAAACAACACTAAAAAGGAAAAAAACAAGGAACTTACAAGGTCAAAAATAAACTGAAAGTGTACCACACAAGTACGAAAAACAACGTCTTCAAGATATTCTCTACAGGGACAGTATTTTCAGAACCTCTATCAAACGATCCAACGCCGCCTCCCGGAATGTAGGAGTCACCGCCAACCGTTCCCCTTTCAGATATCTCTTCAATTTCAAAAGGCACATGCTTATCAGATCCATTACCTCTCCTATAAACAGAATCATCATCCATCGCACTAGCACCGGTCATTAGCACACTCCTTTCCTGCTGTAACTTATCAAAAGAGAATCTCTCTCTATCGAAAACTCCTTCTTTCACCTCATTCTTTTGAATTAGCGGTAACTCAAAAACAGTTTCTTCCTCATCACCTAATTGTCGATCCAAAACAACCCTTTCCTCACCACCACCATCACCAACATTATCATCACCACACCAACGCGAAAACGAAAGCTCTCTACGAATGCCACGAACGCCTGATCCTAACCTTTCACTATCAAAATCCTCTACAATAATCCCTTTAAAGTTACAACTCTCTGAATCTAACTCAATCTGTACCATCTCCTACTGTATACATACATACCCATTTTCCATCCAACTTGTTTATAACAAAATCTTCAATTATCACAAACCCCAACAACAAAAAATGTTGACTTGGATTATCTCTATAACACAGCTAGTATACAAACTGTTAAATTCATAAGAATCAATAATCAGTAAATCTACGATGACCCATTTGAAGTAAACACAGTTAGCACACAAGAAACGTGATGAAACTCAATAAAAATGCAATCTTTATGTATAAAAAAGATGTGAAATTTGAATGATTACATGATAAAATAATTGATAAAACGTGAAAGAAAGAAAAGATTAACCTGGGATGGATTGAATGATTGAGAGAGAAAGATGAAAAGAGAGATCTGAGCTAAGTGGGTCGGATCTGAAGCTTGATTTTGATGACGAATTGAACTGAATTGAATTAGTCTGAAATAACCTTAATCTCACATAAAGTGTATTTTGTGTATCACCAACCCTTTCTTCATTAATATTTTCCAAATCATAATAATAAAACATTTCGTTAATTAATACTTAATAAATTAAAATCAAATAACTTATATTTAAATTTTATATTTTAAATATAAAATTAAAATATGATAAATATGTGTTTGTCCAATTTCAAAAAATATAGCAAAAATTATCATTTTTTTTATCTTCAATACTTTTTTTTTCTTTCATTAAGTTTAAAATCACACTCCCTCAACAATGAAATATATAAGCAAAATTAATAAGTTAACAATTTATCTTTTATTTAATAACATAATCTCTAAAATATTTATTATTTAATTAGATTTTTAATATTTATTTAATTAAATTTTTAATATTTATAATAGTCAAATGTATTAACTAAAGGGGTATCTCGGATAATGCTTAAGTTATTGTTGAGATTACATTGATAATATTTAAAGTTTAATTATACTATTGATTCTGCTCAATCATAAAATTAGTATTCTTCTTTCAAATTTAAATATTTTTTGTTCCTCTCACATTTTTTCTATTAAAATTAATAATGTATTGGCTTTTTGAATGATGTAGGATACATAAATAGTGGCAGAAGATAAAAATATAAATTGAATGTTGCTAAAAAATAACTGGTAATTATTACCAATTGAACTATCTCAGTCATCCTAAGATTAAAATTAATTAAATTTAATATGAAATTAATTCTTTGAATGAGTTGTTGACAAAAATTAGCAAGAATTAATATCAAAATATTTTTTAAAAGCGTGTGAGAAGAGAAAAGCATAAAGTCTCAAATGTTCCAAATAAAATTATAATAAAATAGAACTTAATAATATAATTGTTATTATAAAATCACAATTAAATAAGATTTATATTTATTTTATCACAATTAAATCTTAGATAATCAATACACAACCTTTAAAATTTTAAGATAGTTTTGATCAATTATTAATTATTATTTTTAATATATGTATTTCAATTAATATTCTTTTCTAATTCATTTTAAAGGGGCTAAGTCCTTCTCATGCTCATGTAAACCATATATTTAACCGAAATAGTTGGTATATATAAACAACAAATATGGTAAATATTGCAATAATGAAATGAATTTAATAAAAAAATATTCATTAAAATCGTGTGAACGTATATGAATTAAATTATTTTTTTTGATAAAAAAATAAAATCTTTTTAATTATATATTTAGCACATAACTACATATTTTTTTACAATAAGTGCATAACAACTATTAATTTCTTTGTGTGTGTGAGAAAAACAACTATGCTCCTATTGAGCATTGAATGTTGGTTGGTATGCTCCTTCCATCCACATTTGCTTTTATTTCAAGTTAAGACTTTGCTTTCTATGTAAGAAGAGTTAGTAGTAGGTTGAAGGTATTCCAAGTCTAGCTTTTACTTTTGTTTAAGTTTTGCTGTTTTCTTTATTATACTTGAAAAGTATTCTTCACTTGCATTTAAGTTCATGGATTTAACTAAACAAGTACATGCATGATTGATAGTAATAATATAGTGAAATTGAATGTTTTAATTGAGATGTAAAATATTTAAGTAAGTTTCTCAACTAAAATAGTACTCATCTAACCGAAAAAGATATTAAGTATCACTTTTTTTAATCTTTCTTTTAAATTTAAGCTAAAAATATACAAATAATTTCTAATTATAAATAGTTTGTTGCCAATTTTTATATATATAAATAGGAGTATTTTATCACATTTGAGTAATAAATTTATTATATTTTTACTATTTATTTACTTAGTTGCAATAAATTTTATATCTCCACAAAAAATCTGTTCTTTTATTTTATTTTTTAATAGTTTTAGACTTTTAGTCTATCTTCTCAATTTTTGCTCAAAAGAATACCATGTGTAATATATTTTAGACTTAATTAATTTTGTGGTCTTTTAATTTATGAAATTGAATTTGGTGAACACGCTCTCGAAAAAATTCAAATAATAGAACACTTATATTTAAAATTTAAAGTCACTATTATCAAAAAGGCATTCAACAAAGGCTGAAAGTTGTTTGAGAAAGATAAATAAGCATGTGAGATCAGATGTTGTTATATAGTGTGTAGTTGTATATTACGGTCCAGTGACCATTGTAGAAAACTGAAAAACGCGTGTCCTATCACAACGGTTGCGTCAAAGAACCGTTGTGATATCTCAGCAGCACAATTTTGATATTTATATTATTCTGGACAGCGCGAGATATTACAATGGTTGTGTTATTTAATCGTAATTTTTCTAATTTTTAACCTGTATTTTGGTGGATCATATCACAGCAGAACATACAATTTACATTTGTGATATAGTTATCATAATAATAATAATAATTGTATCATAATAACAATACAAATTAGATTAAGAACCAAAAATTGTATATTACTTCAAAACCAAATTGTCACAATTAAAAAAACCTACTATTTACACATTACATAACATCACATAATTGTACCTTGGTTGTTAGGTCTGTGATTTTATGGTTGGCAATAATTTTGGTAAAACAAATAGTTGACAACAATTCTATCAACATGTTCTATTTGGAAAGAACATGTATTACAACCTAATATTGAGCAAGATGTCATAACATCTTGACCAGTTGGTACAACAGGGTTTGTTGTTACTTATTTGACAGATGTTCTATCATATGTTGTAACACGTTGCAACAAAATATCATATCAGTACAGCTAGATATTTATCCTTGAAGGTTTGATTGATAAATATGAGATTCTGGAGGTTTCTAGTACTCATAACAGGCACAGCCAACCAAGTATTGTTAGGAATAATTGAAGATTTGATTTATTTCATAAAAATGATCTTTGAGACTTTTTAGGAAATATTTGAAAGATTTATTTTTGTTTCTATTTTCGTGGAGAAGATTCTGCAGGGATTTAGAGCTGAAAATTATATTTGATTGAAGAGTCCAAGCCTAACTGCAGAAGTCTATATAAAGAGTCGTCCAAGACCTAGTTTTTAAGCATAGTTTTTATTGTAAAACCGTGTGAAAAATAAGGGTTTGGGGTTTGATAGTTCCTTAGGTTCTCTGTGTGTTCTTTGTATGTCCTCATGTATCTTTTGATGCATTTGAGTTGACTGATTGTTACTTGTTTATCAAGTTATTATTCTCCTCAAATCTTTTAAGCAAGAGTTGAGTATTGTTCTTAGTGAAGCTTTTAAGCAAACTAAGTATTTGTAATTTGGAAGTGTATTCTTCCTTTTTGGTTTCTTGAGACATTCCTTAGGATTGAGATTGGTCTTTTATCACTGCGGTGATTAGGAGTGAGAGGGTTTCTCATATCTATAAGGTGTCTAGGTAGAAGTTGCACTGGGTAGGGATTAAGTGAGGGGTGTAAACTGAGATTGTTTAACTCTGAATTGATACTATTTATAGTGGATTTTCTTCCTAGCTTGGTAGTTGTAACATCCCAAACTACTCGACGAATAATAAACAAATATCAGAGTTATTTTAAGGTAAGTTAGGGTGTCACATTTATTCAAAAACATATAAATACTTGCTCATAAATAGTAATGGATATATAACATAAATTTCAGATAAACCAAAGCAAAGTAACATATCTAAACTTCAACTTTTATTAGTGCAGTGGAAAAAGAATCATGTTTTAAATCCAACAATCTTTTAAAATAAATCAATGCATATTCAAAATTCATAAGGAGTTCATGAGCCTCCAAACAATTACTAAAACAAAACAATAAATATCATTCATCACTCTAGTGTTACGTATAAGAGTAATGACACCGACTCGAAAGTAAACAAAGAGCATCCTCTTCTGATCCTTGCAACCTCAGACTACTCCTGACTATCTAAACGATTCAGTATAAAGCATCATTCCAATAGAAGGGTGAGATATCACAATAATATAAGATAATGCATAATAATGAGTATACAACAAGTAAATCATACACAATCACATATTTCACATCTCACACATTCACACAACAATCACAGTTTTATCATAAAATACTACACAAGTATGCATAATTCATCGCATATATCAATAATCATCACGTAGCATATTCACCAATTACGCAATCCAAACACCATGTTATCAAGAATGCAATACAATGAGACCGACTCACAGACTCAATGCATGTGGTACCAATATCGCTCCTGGATCTACGCCATCTAGAACCAGAGCCACCAATATCGTGAACAATTTGGTTCACCTTGCTTCTGATCCACGCCATCTAGGATCGAGGCCAACAACATTACTCTTGATCCACGTCATTTAGAATCAGAACCAGCAAACAGGACTGAAGTCTAATGGGAAATGCATGTGACACAATCATGCAACAAAACAACACACACTGATAATTTACATCTATCAATATTACACACCAATACAGCCACCATCTGCACACACATATGACATGTCAATCATACAGTTCAAACAACATCATACATCATTATCATACATAAGTACATGCGTATATCTCAGCACAACAGACAAAATTACATATAGAAATGTATAAGTCCCCAACAAATAATCACCTAGTGGGTTCTAAAGCATTTTTATAAGATAAAAAATAATTTTATCTTTTCGTAGGTTCAAACGGACACTCGAGTCAAAAGTTATAGATTTTCAAAGTTTCCAAAACTTACCTGCTACAGTGCTACTTCACCTGTGGCTTGCCCGGCGATTGGGTTTATCTCCTGAGGCTCTCCAGAGAAGCGTAGGCGAGGCCTACACTCCCATACATTTTTCAGGAGCACCCCGTTCTGCCATATCCTTTTCCCGCTCCCTCACTCAGTGATGCAAGAAGCTCGTTCGATGAAGCTTGTTCAATAGCAACAATGCTGCTATGATTCCTGCACTGAACTCGTCCCAAATAGCATATGATTTCACATGAGAATAGCCCCCAATTCACATAAAATTAGTACTTTATCATACCACAACAACAACACATCATTATACATGTTATAGGCATCAATTCACATGAATCTTACACTTTAAGTTCATCAATTTCATCACTAATTCATCATGTCAACAAAATTATTGCAAACCTCAAAACAAACATA